AATCTGATTTAAAATATGGAAGGACTAGACTCACACGGAACATTGATGGTTCCGCGCTACTTTCCAGGACGCTTAAGAGAGATTATGGTTTAATCTCTTCATATTCCACATATCTTTTAGATTCTAGAGTGAATATGTTGCTCGTTTGTATTATTTTCGAGCCTTTATAACCGACGTAAAGGTAGGAAAAAAGGGAAATCAAGATTGGTTTAAGAACTATATTTGTAAAATATCAGGTTCACAAATATAGCAATACTTCATAAGAATTCGGTTTTGCGATTTAGTATTTCTGTTTCATATTTTTATTCTTATATTCAATCTTATTCTAATAATTCAAGATAGTTTATGAATAAATATGAATATCCAAATAAATAATTGTGCAATGAAAAATGAGCAAAGGCGAAATTTGCTGGGTTGGATTAAAAGGCATTATTTATCATTTTTGGTAATGAACCATTATTAATAATTATTTACTTCACGAGAGGAGGAGAAGGAAAGGAAAATGAATTTAATGTGAAAATTAAATAAAAGTCTAATTCTTAAGAAAAAGGGTTTCCGATCACACTTTACCACGGACGCAACTCGCAAGTAGTACTTTTGTGAGAGGGGAGGGGGGAATTTTTGAAAAAATGAAAGCGATGATTTAAGGGTTAGAAGTCGAAAAAACTGAACTTTTCAATTTTTGCAGGTTTGGCTCCGTGCTTAATATATAGTGATTTTTCATTATATCGTATTCCCATGACTTGTTCTTGTGTTAAAAAAATTATACTTCCAACAGCTGTAAAATGAACGTTGAATGTGTAAGAAAAGCGCAAAAAAAAGTCTGATCAGAACTGACAACTTTTGAATGAGATATCTTTAATCGCGATCGCTTAATCTGAGTATCCAATGTACACACTTTTGATTTTCTTCTTATAATTCTCTTTTTGGATATTTCTACTGTATAAAAGTTACGTTTGATAACAATTACATTACAATGCTATATCGATTGGACTAATATCCGATTGAATTAAAGTCAGCTGTTCACAGGCAGGCTTTTAGAGCATTTAAACAAATATATATTTTATCAAGTTTTCAGCTCTGATCAAATGTCTTTCTTGTGTATTTCTTAGTCCCTGGTCCCTATTCACTTTACACAATTCATTCAACCCATATATGGAAAACGCTTTTTCAAGCAATCCAGCATGTTTCTGCACGCTGCAAGATGATGGCATCGTTAGAACTGTTATCAAGCTCACCCTCAGCTAAGCATTTCTTTAACTCCCGTGAAAATATAAACTTAAATAGAGCTATAGATCAGATCCGAAAAATGCAGGTACAGTCTATTTTAGTCTCTAATAAGTTTCCCTGTTTCAAAATTAATAAACATGCTGTCTTGAAGTTTTTAAAATAAGAAGATTTTTAGAAAATTAAATTTAATAACTATTCCGGCCGCCATTTTGAACACCCAAACCAAACCATGTTTCTCTCCAAGATCCAAATGGTTCAATAAACCGGTTTTATTTCAACTGTAGAATTCAATTTAGAAAGTATATCTCCAGCTCTTCACACTTAACTGCAAAGAATCACCTTTACAGTCTCAATAAAGAGAAAGGTGCGAACTGAACCAAACTAAATCTAAACAGAAGAAAATAAAATAAACTTTTTATCAAATTAAATATTTGTTTGCACAGAAATTAATAGATTACTTTCAAAAGATAACAAATATGTTCTATTTATAAAAGAATTTTCCGATTTGCTAATGCATGGCAGTTTTTTTTGTCAGCATAAAGGGAATTGTATCCATAATTCCAAAAAGTTACCAACAATTTAAAAAAAAAAATCATGGAATTGAAAACTTTATGTTTCTAATTTTGGTTTTTTAAGAAAATAAGTTTTTTATTTATAATGAATCCTGGGAAATTGAATTAAAAAGACAACGAGGGAAAAAATAAATCGGAAAAAAATTTCCGTTCAAAAAATATTGTCTACTATTTATCAAAACAGAGATATAACATCTGAATATTTTGGTGGCATGGTGGTGCAAGAAATATATCTAGATAAAATATTCTAATGGTTTATCTAGAGATGCCTACCTTAGTACCCATAAATATTCTTATTTTCTTCCTTTCTACCACCAATAAATTTACTTAGAAATGTTTACCTTATCTTTAACTTTTTTCTTTTTCAGAAAAAAGATTCTACAGCGATAAGAATTCTGCAAGTTTTAGAAAACGTATTTTAAAGGCTAAATATGTGTCTAGTAGTCCAGAAATATAAATAAAATGGTTCATATTTACCATAGTTATTTCCATCTGCTGACTAAAATTTAACAATTTTGATCAAAATTATTGTGTTTATTGGTTAAAATTTAAAATTATTGATCGGATTTTTGTGTTTATTGGCTAAAATTTAATATTATTGATCGGAATTTTGTGTTTATTAGTTAAAATCTAATATTATTGATCGGAAATTTGTGTTTATTGGTTAAAATTTAACATTATTGATCAGAATTCTTGTGTTTATTGGCTAAAGTTTAACTTTATTGAATGCAATTTTTGTGTTTCTGGGTTAAAATGTAATATTATTGATCGGAAATTTGTGGTTTTTGGCTAAAATTTAATATTATTGATCAAAATTTTGTTTTTTTTACTAACATTTTGTCCAGACTAAAAATGATCAATATTGTATATTCCATATGCTTTGTTTGATTTGACAGGTGGATATATAAAAAGAAAAAATAATAATAAACACAAGTGACATATCCAAATAAGAAATTACCAAAATGTCATTTCCAGCCAACCTTTATCAAACGTAGTATACTTGTGATTAATAGAGACCAAGTTACCAATCACAAAAGAGCACAATTAAAATGATACAATGCAGCTGAATTAAAAAGCTCTTACTCTTATCGTATTTTTTTTAAGTTGGGAATTTAAACCACAAATTATATCTATTTCTTATATCCAGAGCGTCCCATATCACATTGAATTATCTCCAGGCTTTAACGCCAAAATACGCACATAACACTCGAAAACCTTGTATTTTCTGCATACAAATTTCTATATCAGCCTTATAGAATTTTTTTAAATGATTCATTTTTTTAAATTTTGTGATTAGTCCCGAAAATCGCATTTTAGAGCTAAGTGATCTAATATGAAGTGGGACACCCTGTCTGTGTTTATAAGCGATCTAATATTATATGGGACACCCCGTCTGTGTGCATTTGTGCTATTCCCATAGTTTGAATCGGGTTTGCTAATCTGCAAGGATGAATCAGGCTTGCTAATCTGAAAGTTTGAATCAGGTTTGCTAATTCCCAAGTTTGAATCGGGTTTGCTAATCTGTAAGGATGAATCAGGTTTGCTAATCAGCAAGTTTGAATCAGGTTTGCTAATCAGCAAGGATGAATCAGGTTTGCTAATCTGAAAGTTTGAATCAGGTTTGCTAATTCCCAAGTTTGAATCGGGTTTGCTAATCTGCAAGGATGAATCAGGTTTGCTAATCAGCAAGTTTGAATCAGGTTTGCTAATCTGAAAGTTTGAATCAGGTTTGCTAATTCCCAAGTTTGAATCGGGTTTGCTAATCTGCAAGGATGAATCAGGTTTGCTAATCAGCAAGTTTGAATCAGGTTTGCTAATCTGAAAGTTTGAATCAGGTTTGCTAATTCCCAAGTTTGAATCGGGTTTGCTAATCTGCAAGGATGAATCAGGTTTGCTAATCAGCAAGTTTGAATCAGGTTTGCTAATCTGAAAGTTTGAATCAGGTTTGCTAATTCCCAAGTTTGAATCGGGTTTGCTAATCTGCAAGGATGAATCAGGTTTGCTAATCAGCAAGTTTGAATCAGGTTTGCTAATCAGCAAGGATGAATCAGGTTTGCTAATCTGAAAGGATGAATCGGGTTTGCTAATCAGCAAGGATGAATCAGGCTTGCTAATCTGAAAATTTGAATCAGGTTTGCTAATTCCCAAGTTTGAATCGGGTTTGCTAATCTGCAAGGATGAATCGGGTTTGCTAATCTGCAAGGATGAATCAGGTTTGCTAATCAGCAAGTTTGAATCAGGTTTGCTAATCTGAAAGTTTGAATCAGGTTTGCTAATTCCCAAGTTTGAATCGGGTTTGCTAATCTGCAAGGATGAATCTGGTTTGCTAATCTGCAAGGATGAATCAGGTTTGCTAATCAGCAAGTTTGAATCAGGTTTGCTAATCTAAAAGGATGAATCAGGTTTGCTAATCAGCAAGGATGAATCGGGTTTGCTAATCAGCAAGTCAGCCAGGATTTTTCATTAAAAAAAAAAATTGTTAAATCACAAGATTGAATATTCTGAATTCTAATGAATTCTAAAAACGGCAAAACCGATCGAGTCTTGAAAGGTTCATTAACAGTTAAAAGCAAATAAATTTTTGGAAAAATGCCTTTTTTAATTGTAAAATCTATCAATGTTTAAAGAAAAATCCGCAAATTTTTAAACTTCACAATCACGCTTAAAAAGCACAATTTAAAATCTTAAATTATTGGAGTGCCACACGGATGTAACGGTTCATCCTTATCTCATGCAGAGAACTGTGATTTGCGATAACAGTTTGGCCTAGCTTTCATTATATTAGAAGATTTAGTCGCTCTTGCTCATGTGAAGGAGCAACAAAATCTTGTTGGGTAAGGTTAGAAATGCACATAACAAATTTGAGTTTTTGCGCACATTTTACTTGCAATTTACTCTTTATATTTATCTATTTCTTTGGATGAAAGGAGGAAAGGAAATAAATAAATTTTAAATTTGAATGAATTTAATTGTATCAATATTTTACATCATATATTTCTCTGCAGATATATTTTACAAAATGGTTTAATTGAAAAATGATACTTTGACATAAATTCTTACATATTTAATAGATTTAGCATTTTTCACAGATTTAACACAATTTTTTAGAAAATATTTGGTGACACAACCATTTATATTAAACATAGCTATATACTTACACTACAAAAATAGTAGATAACTTGTATCTAGATTATCACAATCAATTGATCATGCACTAACTTGGGGGATTCAGGACTGCATGAAGTCCTGGAATTTTGAAATAACTGCATTAAGTCCTATTATCTTAAATTGAGACTTTTGAGGACTTCTTTGATTCCTAGTGTTTAAAAATGAATTAAGTTCTTTGGTTTAAAAACTTTATTAGATTGTTCGATATGAATACGTGAAAATCGGACTGCTATTCTTATTCTGTGTATCTTATTGTTGTACACAAAAGTGATCATGTACTTTGCGCAAAATGTGTAGATCATTGAAGATTTAGAATAACTGTTTAATATTCCTTACAATTATAGAATCATTATAAAAAGAAATATTAGTTTAAAATTTACATTCTTAAATTAACATTAAGAATACATATATTTATATATATGATTCTCATAGCATTATGTACATATTTTGGGAAAGGGGGGGGGGTACATAAATATTTCATTACCATACATTTAAATTCGGATTTACTTGTACATAAATATCTTTTAAAGTTTGTGAGTGTGTACACCGTGTACATAAGAAGCATTTTGACATTAAAACTCTACATTTTAGATATGGAAGGTTCTATTTTAATTGTTGTTTACATATTTTGTGCACCAACATATGTTCCAGACATAATTATTATTTGTACACCATAATATGTAGCAGTACACTTTAAAGTGTACTTTTCACATCAGTATTACTCAAAAAAGGGGCAATGCGCCATTATGATTTAAGTAGCAACAAAAATTTGAGACATTTTTAATTCTTTTTATTATAATGAACAATTACAAAAAAGATGTTTTTAGCAGGTGGGTGGGGGTGGGGGGGAGTAATAGAAAGACGTCAAGCTAGAAGGGTTAAAAAATCACTGCCCGTGTTGGTCCCAAACTAAAATAAAATAAAACATAAAGGAAAATCCTCCCCCCCCCCCTCCCTTCGTTCTAGATTTGTCTTCTCCTGATCACTGATTATTGATCATTAATTGTTGAGAAGAACTAGATCATCAATGTAAACTTGAGCAAGGTGATCATAGATAACCCAGTACATTAACTGAAAGCAGAAGAATGTAACTGGAAAGACTATCCTGCTGTATTTGTCTATGTCGGAGGCTGCCATACCAAGCATACTGTTGATATGGCTGTGTGATCTAATAGATAGGGGAGCAGCGAGAGGAACCATGTTCATCGGAATACTGAAACATTAAAATGTTTTTTTTTTTAACTTCTGACAAAGGTGACAAACAGGTGTCGTTTAGAAAAAAAAACAAATTTTGGACAAACGAAATGGATTGTTCAGAGAAATGAAAACGTTATAGTTTTTTTAAAACTAACAAAAAAAGCAAAAAGAACGATAATGAGCAATTTAAAATTGTTTGTACAAACTTGAAAACACGATTGACTTTTTACTGAACCAACGAAATTCCAAAAGATTTATAAAACGATAGTTGCTTTTACTTAACGAATGATTTCTGGGAACAAAATTTTAAGAAAGCGATCGAATTTCTTATAAAACGATTTTTAAAAACAACCGATCTTTATTGAACGAACGATTTTATTGAACAAACAATTTTATTCTGAACGAACGATTTAGATGAACGGACAAACGAAATAAAAAAGTTAAAAATAAGGAAGATACACCAGAGCCCAAAACTTAAGACAGAGTATCGTTAGTGAAACCAGTTTTAAAACCCGGGTTTCACGAATGGGGTTAGGCACTTTTGTGATTATCAATATTTTTGTAATGACATATTATTTCTTCAGGTTTTTTTATATTATCCATTTTTTCGAATCTCTAAAATCAAAATCTACACAAAAGTAAAGACCCCAAAAAGGAAACTCGGGAGTTTTGTTCAACGATACTCTTTTAAATTTCGGCCTCAGGATCCTCAGTGTACGCAAAATATGTACTCCGGGAGAAAAAAAAATAAGATTCGAGGTTCCAAAAGGAAGGATTCTGATCTTTAAGAAAATCTATCGAATCAAATTTAAAGGTTCTGGTGTTTTTTCCTTGATTTAATTTTATACAATTCTAGAAAATTATTTACCTATTATGCTTGTACAAAGTGGTGTTATATTTGAGTTCTAGGTGTTCAGGGGCTCTTTTTACTCCCAGGTTAAAGTGTACACTCTAAACAGAATACAGGTTAATGTGTATAATCTAAACTGAATTTAAAGGTTAATAACACTCTAAACAGAATACAGGTTAATATGTATAATCTAAACTGAATTCAAAGGTTAATATGAACACTCTAAACAGAATACAGGCTAATATGTATGTACACTCTAAACAGAATACAGGCTAATATGTACACTCTAAACAGAATACAGGTTAAAGTGTACACTCTAAACAGAATACAGGTTAATGTGTATAATCTAAACTGAATTCAAAGGTTAATATGAACACTCTAAACAGAATACAGGCTAATATGTACACTCTAAACAGAATACAAGCTAATATGTACACTCTAAACAGAATACAGGTTAATGTGTATATTCTTAACAGAATACAGTTTAAAGTGTATTTAACAGAATACAGCTTAATTTGTACACTCTATGAACAGAATACAGGTTAGTATGTTAGTCTAAACAAAATATGGGTTAATTTGTACTCTCTAAACAGAATACAGGTTTTAAACAAAATACATGTCAATGTGTACACCTAGACAGAAAAGTTAAAATGTACACTGCACTAATACAGTAATGAGTTGGTACCACTCTTTTTTCAGTTAAAATTAAAAACAACCAAACACAAAAATTAGTCACATCATTATAAAACATTCGAAACAACATAACATAAAAAATAAGTATAATTGATAATGTTTTGAATTCCATGCGAGTTTCCGTAAGTATATTTTTGTAAATCATTAAAGTGGCTATACTTGTAAAGGATATATGAAAGTTTTAAATTGTTGAGATTTGTGTGTCCCACTAAAAACGATAATTTCTAAAGCTTGATACTTTTGACTGATATTTTAATTAATTATATTTTAATGTTTTTTGTCTTACCATGTTTTTTATCTTATTTTCAGTTTAAAAATCTTATCAAAGTTTGACAAAATAAAATGAGACTAGATATATTGTTTTATTTTGGCACATTTTACTTCAAAGAAACTGTTTATAAACGTTTAGAAACACAGAAAGGTTTGAGTTTGCGCTACGTTATTGTTAAGAGTAATTTGGAAAGTTATTAGACCTCGAAATGACACTTGGATTGATGATTGAAGTATTGTTAGATTGCAATAATAAACGAATTGACCTAAACTATAGTAGATTGCATATACGATTAAAATCTTAAGTTTTCACTTAAAACTCCTTTTTTTAAAGAGCTATATGAGAAGAACAGGAGTGTTTTTAATTTCTGGTATATAATCAGATCAATTGCTCTGCTAACACATTTGGGTAAAATCAAAACTAACAGAGCTACGAGGTCATACAGTCGTACCAGTGAAAGGAAATTTTAAACACAGTTGAAACAGATAGAATCATTTTTAGAGATATGTTAGACTTAATATTTATCTGTTGGATTGAAAGGTCTTTTTGTTATATTTTATATATACATTTTTTTCATTCGTTGGTTTAAAGTCTTTAAAAAGAGATGAAACCGGTTTTCTAAGTGAAAACTGACAGAGAGATGTGGTGGGGTGGACTTTCTAACCGTCAGGAAGGTCTTTGGGCCTAATTTTTTTTAGAATTCAAATATTAGGTTAGGATACTATGTGCAGTAATTTTAAAATATCTTCTTTTATCAATTAAAATCTATTTCATCTGAAACTATATTGGCATTAAATCATATTAAATAGGTTGGTTGAAACCACATAACAGTTTCAATACAGAATTAAACTTTCCAAATTAATAAATAATTATACTGGTGAAAATCCAAGCAAGCAACGAAATTAAAGCTTTAAATTAACAAATAAAAACATAATTAGTCAAAATGGGAAAAGTTTTTAAAAATTTATGGAAAGTACTGTCATTAATTAGTCAAAACAGTAGTACCCTTCAAACCAAATCTGTCTGTTTTTAAATTAAAAATATTAATTTATTGATTGATTTATTCTAAAAAAGTACAAAAACAACTGTTTCTTGTGTCATGTTGATTCTAAATAATTTTATCACTTTTAATTAAGAAATTTAATTTATACCCTAAATCATGCAACTGTTATGTAATATTTATAAAAACAGTTTTTTTCAACGTTTGTTTACATGTATGAATACAGTGAGAACCAGAAAACTGTGGAAAAGGATGACGACATCAAATAAATAATTTAGTGTACATGAAGTTGTTCCCAAGCAAATATTGTCATTATAATATCTTATTTGATCACTTATTGAGTGAAACGGGTCTGTTTACACTGCAAAAATGCTGTGTTCACTTGGTTTATTTAAAGTCATACTTTGAGTCTAAAAGTCGTCTTCCTATGCCAGGGTTTTTTTGATTCTCCCTGCATACAAAATGAACTGTGTATTTCTAATTACGTGTGTTAACTATCTACGGGTTAAACCTGGAGAACAAGGGACAAGTTTTTCAATTGTTAAATTACTAAATATCACTGATCAACATTATCCAATGCAAGTTATGATAATATTGCGATGGGTTCGCTTGCTTATTACTTAACCGTATCCGGTTAGAGGGTAGGGGGTTGGAGGGAGATGGAAGTATGTCCAGACTATTTCACTCTTCCATCTTATACTAAAAAGCATGTTTAAAAGCAATCAAAATAATTTATAATGCAAAGCATGGTAGTTACATTTTTCGTACTTTTTGGAGTTTTTTTAACCCTCTCCAGCATCTATTTTAAAAAGTTTTCCAAAATAACTTTTCCTTGAAAAGCACTGCAAACTTCAGTTCATTTCAATTACCGGGTTGACTTTTAAGCAGCTAGTACAGTACAGCTATTTATACGAGAGAAAATTTTCTTTATTTTGCATCCGAATCCGTCGCAATATCACCATACCTAGCATTAGGACATTTTTCTTAGTGGATTGATTTCAGACAGGGTATATATACAAGACCTATGCCTGGGAAGTTGAAGCAGAGTTGGTGGGTGGTCCAGGGGTTCTTTAGGTTTAACTCCAATATTCTCATATTTTTAGTTTCATCAAATTTCTTGCGTTTTTTTTGAGACAAGAAGATACATTAGAATAAAGAAATGTAAGATTCCTTCCTTGCATGCAGGGTGTCTAAAAATCTCTTGGTATGTAAGAATTAGGATATAGTTAGACACCTTGAAGGGGTACATTCATTAAGTTGAATTACCATGAAAGGGTTGGTCCAGACGATGTGATTATGAAGGTAGCACCAGGTAAGGATGGGTGGGATTCAGGTTGATCCAAGAAGCACAAGATCGGGTACAACCTCCTCAGAGATATTCATGTAGATGATCCAATACATCAGGTTGAAGCATGTAAAGCTTACTGGAAAGAGCACCCGACTGTACTTGTCAATGTCTGAAGGTGATATCCCACCCATCTTCTGCAGATTCTTTTTACATTGCAATAAAGGCGGGGCTTGGTGGTGCAAAAGTCCATCTTGTATCTGGGGCAATGGACCGCCATGATTTGCTCCTGGAAGAAGATGACTAGTTGAACCAGTGAACCCCTGGCCTCCTCCCCGCATCATGCTCCCGGCATTGCGCCGGAGCAACGGATCATGCATGTTTAGGCGGATTTCCTGGAAAGCAAAGAAAATCTTACTATTTTGTAAGTTTTGTTGAGAGCGGTAACTTTATAGGAAACAAGATGTGTAAAGGGGATATGGGGGAAAATAGTATTAGTATTCAAGCTTTGTTTTACTGTTCATAAATAATTCACTATTTTATTTATCGTATTGGAAAAGTGTGTTTGTTAGCTCAGCTCCTCATAAACAGTTTTCTTCGAGTGCTAAAACATGCCTAGTATATAAAGTATGTTGCACCAAAATAAATTTCTTTTTTATAGAATTAGAATTGAAAACTATTTTTCAGAGTCAAAAAAAATGTGAACTTTTATTTTTAAAATTACAAATTATATTTTAGTGGGTAAAAGTATGATTAATTGAAAAGTTTTGATTCGAAACAAAACATTAAAAAAAATGTGAAAGGGAAAGGTGAAGAAACAAGAATAACAAGACAAAAATAATCCATACTCTTTAATCAAAAGTTTTCATATCAAAAGTTTGAATAATTGATAGAACCAACCTCACTCACACAGTTAGGTGTGATAAAAGGAAAAATATAAAGTTTAATTTATACCTATTTCTTCTTTCTTAAGTCTATTTTTAAAGTAAATATGATAAAACAAAAACTTATTTGGAAAAAAAGGGGATCGAGCAAAAGATTGAACACACAAATCTAAGAGAAGGGAAGAACATGATACAAAAATGTGGTGAACATATTAGGAAATGTAACAAAACATGTGTTAATAATTAATCTAAAAGTTTGCTGAGAAATTTGCAATATAAAACACTGTATATCTCTACGCAATTATCGCAAAAAATTGTCATTTAGAATAATAAAGATTAATATATCAAAGATATATTCCATTATCTCAGTTTCAAGTACCAACAAAAATTGTTATTTATTTGGTCTTCTGTTTTCAATTTCACATAATGCGCCTATTTTATTTTTTAAGTCTTAAATACTTCTTAACATTTTTAGTGCAGGATACTGATATTTTAAATGCCAGTATGTGGTTAAGGGAGTAAATCATAAAAAGTTCAAACCACTCTTCCTAGGAATAAGGTTCACTATACGACTCAGAGTTCTTAAAAATGCGCAGGATTTTGCTAATTTTACATTGAACATTGATCATGCATTACACTGGTGTTTGGTATTTGCTCAAAGATATTTTAAAAAATGTAAATTTTCAGCGCGTACAATTTCCCAAAGTACAATTCCCCCCCCCTCCTCCCCCAAAAAAAAATCTTTGCCCAAATATCAGCTTTGGAATTTGTACAAATATAGTCTTTTTACTGATAATATTTGAGGGAATTAGAAAGAAAAAAACAAGATAAACGAATTCTCTATCCCCCTCCTATATGTTTTACATCCATGCATCTCAATTAACATAAAACAAATTGTGCAATCTGATTTAAGAATTATCAGCAATAGTGGATTTTTGGATGATTCATAATTAAATAATGAGTTCCACTGAAAACTCCGGTTAATTTGATGTACCGGCCCAAGTTGTGTACAGTATACAAGCAGCAAAAACACTACAACGGGACGGTACACCAAGTGAATCCTCCCCATCTATGGGGGTTAATGATAGAATATTTTCATCTGATATTAATATAAAGAATAATTGAGGAAAACTAATGAATACTAAAAGAGACAGTAGACTTAATCTAAGTGAACCTCCATCAGTAAAATTCACAAATATTACCATAACCGAAGAATGATCAAGATATTCAATGTGCAGTTTCTTAAAATTGATCGGTGTTTAAATGTTACCGTTGTGAATCGGGCATGTCCCTCTTTAGATGAAGGTTCACATAAAATACAGGGACAGTCCCTTGAATATTTGCTACCCACGTTGTTTAGAGTTTTAGATTTAAATATGGTCCATCCAGCACCCCTATACTTTTAATGAATTTTTTAAACACTCCATTAAATCCTGGATTTTTTGTAAAAAAAAGTATGAAACAAAACTTACCGTTTGTTTTGGCATGTTCGAGCTGACATCTGCATTGACCGCCTCATGAATGTTTGCATTACTGGAGTGCAGTGCCTCATTTTTCTTTTGTTCCGCCATTTTCTGAATTGCCAGAAACCGGTTCTTCCTCATTTGTATTCTCTTGGCCATGTAGCCAACACTAGCGTACTCTAAACAGAGAACCAACATTAAAGGATTTTCCAACAGTTATATTGTATTACTCAGAGAACTAGAGAAAAATGATAAAGAATTGGTAAAAACATTCTAAGCTAAATTATTGCTTCCTAACTTGTCCTAATGTTTTTTCTCTAAGCATAAAGAAATAATTTGTTCTGTTCTTTGCTTACAAATTTTAACAAAACTTTAAAACGAAATAGAATTAAAATGAAAGAATTTCAAAAAACTGTGGAATAGAAAGAAAGACGAATTTTAACCAACTTTAAATGTATTTAATGTTTTACGAAGTTTTAAAATTGCTTAAAAAATTGCTCTGTTTCTTGTTTAATGGACTATTTAAAGGGACTGTGAAGGAAAAAATAAAAGGGGGTATAGGATAAAACCTGAAATTCTTATGTTTCAGCCTTCGCCCCCTTTTATTTTTCCTTAACAGTCCCTCTAAAATCAAAATTTTTAAAATTTATAGTCGTCTTGATTGTATTGATATGATCGCCTACCACTGTATGCAGATAAACTTTATAAAGACTTGCCTATAAGGGAAGCGAAGACCATAAAGAAACAGGCCGCTAGGTAGACATCAATAGATTTTACATACGAGATTTTAGGTAAAGCTGGAGACAAAACAATTAGTTTTCGATTTCGGAGATGAACCTTGAATTGAAAGTGTTAAGCTGAATATCGGGTTCAATCGTTAAAGCTAAACGAATTCCAAAACAAAATTTTCCTCAAAGTTAGAGTTAATATCAAAATAATTGTTCGTCAAACATCTTAGAAATGCACAATTTATATATTTAAAGGGACTGTACACGTAATTGTGTACAGTCCCTTTAAAGTGACCCTCCAAGCAAAGATGACAATGGCAGATTCAAAAAGGTCCCCTTCAAAGTTTTGTCTGCTCACAAAAAAAAGATATTAACGTTTTTCAAAACTGATTATTTTCAATTGTTGTTTCTGTACAAAAGTGACTTTAAACATTTCTACTTCAGGAAAACATAAACAAATTAACAGAATCAAACACTTTTAAACATAGAAAAATTTAAAAAAAAAATTTCCACATTTTTGAAATTACATTGCCATCACTTGAAATAACGCTTCCAATTCCCTTTAATTTTCATCTATTGTACAGTATAATTAGAGCATTATTTTAAGAATCTTCCAATACTGATATCATCGTTAATCCTCTTAGNAGTAGAGAAACCACAGTTTTAAATAATCCAATTGAATAACCATAAGGATATCTCATACCATTTCTGAATCGGACATGCCATGCTTTCAATTGAAAGGTCACTAGAAGTAGCGTTTCCCTAAAAGACTACAGTAGACTGAAATGTTGTTGTATTTATTTATCTTAGATGAATGTGAGATGGGAAAATGCACTATAGTTTTAGTAAAGTAAATATTTCCATTCACTGATAGCTCCGATTGAAGTATTCATAACTCAGAGCTGAAAACTTTAAAATGGTGGAAATCGAGATCATTGCTTGATCCTCTCTTTTTTTTAAACTTGAAACTAACCTAATCTTGTACTTATATCCTGAAAAGTGAATAAAATTCAACCAATCAGAGTCGCGTTTCAGAAATTCAGAAATGGGAAATTGAAATTTTGCCCGCCCTTTAAGATTACTATACAGAAACAGATTACTACAGAAGGAACTCTCTAATTTTGAAAACCGGTTTTTGATTTTTCTGTATTATATCCAAAAAAGAGTGGATTAAGCAATAAATTAAAAGTGTCCACATTGGATATTCGGATTATGCAGTCGGGATTAAGTTCCCAACTCTGATTGGATAATGAGATAGATAGGAAGATAGATTTTACCGCCAAACTATTTCTGTTGGTTCAGAATAGACAACAAACACATGACTGAACCCTGATTGGTTCAGGCGCTCATGGACTCGGCTTACAGGAGTGAATGATATGAATTCTCTTCTTAAATTGCTTAAACTACGAAATAATTGTTTTCCTGAATTAGTTGATGATATAAGCGTGGTCATGGTTAGCACCGTGGTAACTCCTAGTCCTACACGGGCTGGTGTTGCTCCACGGTTCAACCAGAAGGAGACCCAGGAGATGACAACTATGAGGGAGGAGGGGATGTAGATCTGTATGAGGTAGTAGCCCATAGATCTCACAAACTGGATCTCACAGGCCAGACGGGAATAGTTACCTAAACATTTAAACCAGTTAACAATTATAAATTGCGCTTTTTGCGCGGTCTACTGCGCGAATTCTGATACGCCAATTAATACGCAAAATATGAACCCCTTCTTCTCAGAATTAGACTTGTGAAAAGCATGTGACTAATCAGTATATAACTTTATAAACGGTTTGTTTGAAAGGAATTGAGTCTTCCCCACAAACTCTAACTTTCTAATTCATATATCTCTTTGAAATATATAAGGTCTACAAAAATGGGTTGCAAAGATATTGGGGTTAGAAAATTTAAGATTGTAGCAAGAACTCAATTCCTTTAAAGGAATATCTAAAACCTAAATTTAGTCTATTTCATCTAGGAAAATTCTTGAAATATGGCTGTTAAGATGTAAAAATAAGCAGATTTTTATTGATTCTTGAAATTACGTTGGAACCCCTTCAATTCAAAAAGGGTTTAAATATTTGTTTTTCTAGAAGTCAGTAGGTTTATTTTGGAAACTTTACTCTCATCTAGACAAAAGGAAAAGGTTAACTTGATGCGACATCACTGGTGCGACTTTGTGACCTCGTAGCTTCTCTACTTTTGATCTCATGAACAAATAGGAGACAAAGGAACTGAGTTTTTGCCACAAACTCAAATTTTCTAATCCCTGCGACCGGAATTTTTTCCACCTGATGGTGTAATCCTTTGATATTTCAAACTTGGATTATTTTATGTAACATAATTCATAGTTTGAAATATCTTAGGTCTATGAAAAGGTATGATTGAAAACATATTAGATTTTAACCGTCCGAGCAAATGCCATTAGTTTGAAAAAGACTTTTTTTCCGTTAAACACTGATCCAACTAAACAAACATATCATGAAAACCATAAAAAGAAAAAAATTGCCCCAAACAGGTACGCACCTCCCTTCTCTCTTTTTTAGCTTCTATGCTTTCCAAGGAATAATATTTTTTATGGAAGCACGGAACTAAAAGTTTTCAAAGTTTTGAATAATGTAATGTGTCCTTTCACAGGGTGGGGAAAAATATTTTTGTAAATTAGAAATATTACTTTTTGTTGGAAAGTTAGGCAAACTTTGTATATTTTTATCAATTATGCAAATGCACACAAAACTTTTTTTTGACAACATATCAAAAGTTTAAATAAACATTATTAAAGATTTCTTTTACCATAAAATAATACTAATACTAGTCAGGGAATAGGAATGAAAGGAAAGGAAATGGCGCTGGTCTGGCATGAGAAAGCCAGTCGCACTGCTTTGCAGACGAATTCGGTATAACACACGCACACTCTTGTGGTACAGACACATAACATGTTTACAGTCAAGGAAATTGCAGAACGATATTGTCGATTATAATTAAGCTTGAATAACAAGTAATTTATTGTAAACTTTAATCAAATTATATTCTTTGCATGAAAATTTGGCTTATAGTGTTGACTTAAATATGTAAATAATATATTACATGTATATTAAACTTATTTTTAAGTAAACAATTAACAATAAACAAATGTACTCTCCTAGACTTTTACAAATACCGAGATTCTTACGTACTGTATAAACCTACAGTACACACCTTCGGTTCGGTATTCCTTACACACACTCTTTTGGTACAGACACACACACATGACGTTTCCGCCCCTGATACTAGTTCACAAAGAATTGTGGGTTTCGTATTTTCATGGAAAATCGTCATTATCAGAAGCTAATTTATGAATGAACGAGAAGTAGCTGAACTAATTCTTCTGTGAGATAGTTTACTTGTCTCATCAGAGGCTGAATTTAAAGAATTTGATCGGCGGCTCTTAAATTTTAGACGCGGCTCAAATATGGTTGGTTCCACTTAAAATTGTATTCAATGTTTCAAGATTCAAGCAGGCCCTCAATTGAAACCGGTTTTTGGCGGATTTGAGACGCGGCTCAAATTCATTAAATTCGGACTCAGTTGAAACAAAATTGGTCGAAGGAAAGGAACATGTCTTCTTATAACCATTAACCATATCTTTGCAACTTGAGCTGAAAACTTTAGAATTGGATACCCTTAATCCTGATAACTAAATCTGAATATTCACTGTGGAAATTTTTAATTTTCTTTTTAATCCGCTCTTGTTGGGTACTTCATATAATAAAGAAACGTTTGATTACAATTACAGATACGATGCTATATCGATTGGACTAATATCTGATTGAAATAAACTTAGCTGTTCACTACGCGGCTTTTAGAGCATTTATACAAATATAAATTTAATTATGTTAATATAAACTTATTAAAAAACATACTTTATCACATTTGAGGACTATAGTCCTTTTGAACGTTAGTCTAAATAAACATTAATCAATAACTTACGTTCGTTCAATCGATCATTAGTCAAATTGATATGACACCAAAAATGCGGGAAAATTAAAAACCGGTTTTTCAAAAGTTAAAGAGCGCATCTCTAATCTATGGAAATTAATCTAAGGACTAAATTAGTCTTGAGATTAGCAAAGAGATCTCGATATCCATCATTCTAAAGTGTTCAGCTCTGCCTAGTAAATCTTGAATTTAAGACTGTGCTTAAAGTAAAAAATATCAAAGATTTACACCATCAGGTTGCAAAGATATAAAGGTCAGAAAATCAGAATTGTAGCGATACATCATTTTCTTTCATGACCTTGTTTTTTTCCTTCAAGCACTGAGTTGAGATGATGAAAAATTGTGCAATTTGTGGGAAATTGGTAGAAAGGATTTTCAAGAAAATGTTGTCTCAGAATTCTAGAATTCTAGCTGAAATATAATTTGAATAGATTGAACGAGATAGTAAATGTGGTCACATAACTGCCATAAGACGGATTATTTTATAGGTCACTTAATACTAAAGTAAATTGCATGAGTAGAACCAAACTGTTTTAGATTTAGATTTTGAACCGGGATAAATTTGATTTTTTCATCTTTGTGCGTAAAATCAAAACTGGAGGTGCTACGAGGTATCAAAGCCATACCAGTGATGACGCATAAATTTGACCATCACCTTCTGTTTAGTCTGCTGTGATATAACAACATATTGTATCCAGGTATATCTGGATATCCAGTAGATTTGGATAATGATTATAGATAACAACGTATTGTATCCAAGTATATTTGGATATTCAGAGATTTGGATCATGGTTACAGATAACAACATATGGTATCCAGGTATATCTGGCAATCCATAGATTTGGATCATAGAGCTTTATAGAAAACAGCATATTGTATCCATGTATATCTGGATATCCAGTAGATTTGGATCATAAGAGCTTTAAAGAAAACAGCATATTGTATCCAGGTATATCTAAATATCCAGTAGGTTTGGATTATCGAGCTTAATAACATATTCTATCCAGTGGCCGAATTTAAGGAATTTGAGCGGCGGTTTAAATTTAAGCCGCGGTTTAAATATGGTTGGTTTCACTTAAAATTGTATCAAATGTTTCAAGATTTAAGCCGGCGCTTGATTTAAACCGGGTTTTGGCGGATTTAAACCGCACTCAAATTCTTTTAATTCCATCTCGGGTATATCTGAATATATAAATATATATATCTTTATTTAATGAACTGAATTCCCAATGTAATTCCGATACCCTGAAAATCTGGATCGCGCTAATACCCTTGAATTTATATTCGAAAAGAAGCGCCCGTTAGAAACAAGGAAAACAATTGAGAGAAATTAATGGTCAACAAAAAATCAGGTGGTTGCCATTTTAAGAGATTTAAAAACAAACTAATCTGCTAAAAATCACATTCTTAAAATGTTGTGTTTACCAAGTCATACCAAAGAGAACATTTAAACCTAAGTTTTACAGTTGGGAGACTTAAACTAACGTTTTCTGTGGACGAACTAATGCAAGCTGGAACTCCCGCACGTAATTCACCACATGGGTTTACTTTTCATCATATAACTTTTATCTTCTAATTTTGGATTGTTTCGGTACAATATTGAACTTAATTTTATTGGTGACAAAAGTTGTCTTTGCCCATGGTGCAAACCCTATTCCCGCTGGGGGGGGGGGGGGGCAATTTGCCCCCCCCCTGTAGTTTTTTTTACATAACTCAAAAAGTATTGGTCTGAGGCTGTTGAAATTTTCTGACTTTTCTTACATACCCATAGCCCTCCCTTTAGGCCTAAGACAGGGCTTTAATACTAACTGCCTGAGTCCTCAGGCACACTGCCTGAATGACTGCTTTTTCCTGTAACAAACTAAATCTTTGTTTTGACCCACTTTCACTTGTCAGATTTTGATAAAATTTAGCTTTTTGGAAAGCCTTTGACAAAAGGAAACAAATTGCACAAGTTTTGCGAAAAAAAATTGCAAATTTTTTGCAAACAACCTGTCAAAGGAAATTTGCACATTTTTAGTTTTTCTTGATTAAAAATCAGGTTATTTAAAATTTTGCAAAAATTTTTCCATATTTGAAATGGCATGGTCAAGGGCCTTTCAAAAATGTATAATTTTTCATTTTTTTGACAAATTTTTTTTTGCACAAATTTTTTTTATATATAACTGGATTTTGCGATAAAAAATTCAATTTTTGCAAATTTGCAATTTTTTTTGCAGATTCTAAAAGTAGAGCACAAGAGCTTTCTAATGATGTATCACTTGTCATATTTGGACATCAAACATGGGATTTAGAGGGGGGGGGTCAAATTGACCCCCCCCCAGCGTATCCTGGTTTTCAAGTACCCCAGCAGAGATAGGGTTAATCATTTTGTGGCTCAATTGTGCCTCGGTATTATTTTTTATTTTAAACTCGATTAATACCTCAATAATGGACAGAGAGATGCCACCTATCTAATATTGAAGTAATATTTTTTGTCATTTCTCTCTAATTGTTGCGGTTTGGCAGGCTATAATTACCATACCGGGCATACATGTTAATTCCGCTTTATAAAGGAATTGAGTCTTTGTTACAAACTCTGATTTTCTATTTGACATTTCAAACTATGACTTCTGTTAGATCAAATAATATAAGTTTGTAATATCAAAGGTTTACGACATAGGGTTCAAAAGATATAGGGCCGGATAAGAAACCGAATTTGTGGCAAGGACTCAATTCCTTTAAGATCAGGTATGTACATTATTTTAAGATCAGGTATATACATTATTTTCATAGTTTTATGTTTATTTAATACCTTAGATCAAATTTGACACGACAAATAATTCCAAGGTTTTAAATGTCCAAACATAATAGTTTTTTTTATCAAATTTACGACCATCAGCTGTTGAAGACCCGAGCCTTTAAGAGCGAAACCCCCAAAGGGGTTGGTTTTTACTAAACCCTAGGCTAGGCCATCTAGAACCTTAACTTGAGCTTTGAATTGGGTTCAAGCTTTTTAAATTTTCAGCTCAGGTCAATATCCTGTGGCGTATTCGAGGATAGAGGGTGGGGGGGGGCATTGCGGGCTTAGTCCTCTCCCCCCTCTTGGAAAAGTTCTAATAATGTTATCCTTTATGATTCCTGTATACGCCCCTGTAAACATTTCCCCCCCTCCACCCCGTGATTTGAATTAACCTGTTGATAAGCTAGCTTCTATAGTCTTCTGCCTGTGCCCGAGCACCTTGAACTGGGGTAAAGAAACATCACCAGATACCTATATAATTTACTCTGTGAAATTTATTCTAACATTTATTAAGAAAAGGGTCGGAACATATCACAAGATTTTTGATGTTGCCTCTGATTGGTCCAAGCTTAAAGAAAAGGACTGTTAACATAGTTAAAAATAAAAATAGTTTAAAAACTAGTTGATCAATGGAATTGGTATCAAGAGTGTACGTTTGTTTCAGTACGGTTGTCCTAATTTTTATATATTATTTTTAATTTTCATAATCTTTTTTTCAAAATCTTCTTAAATTGTCTTGGTGGAGTTTAAGATTGTTGTGGTTTCAAAGTTTTAACTCTATTGCAAAATTAATTTAGATATGGTTATTTGGAATCTATATTTTGAATGTATATTTGGAAGGTATATTTTGAATGTATATTTGGAAGGTATATTTGAAATCTATATTTTAAATGTATAGATGGAATTTATATTTGGAATGTATATTTGGAATTTATATTTTTGATGTATATTTGGAAGGTATATTTTGAATGTATATTTGGAAGGTATATTTTGTATGTATATTTGGAATGTATATTTGGAATGTATAATTGGAATTTATATTTGGAATTAATATTTTGAATGTATATTTGGAATTTATATTTTGAATGTATACTTGGAAAGTATATTTTGAATGTATATTTTGAATGTATATTTGGAAGGTATATTTTAAATGTATACTTTGAATGTATATTTGGAAGTATATTTGGAATGTATATTTGGAATGTATATTTTGAAGGTACATTTTGAATGTATATTTTGAATGAATATTTTGAATGTATATTTGGAATGTATATTTGGAATGTATATTTGGAATGTATATTTGGAAGGTATATTTTGAATGTATATTTTGTATGTATATTTGGAATGTATATTTGGAATTTACATTTGGAAGGTATATTTTGAATGTATATTTTGAATGTATATTTGGAATGTACATTTGAAAGGTATATTTTGAATGTATACTTGGAAGGTATATTTTGAATGTATATTTGGAATTTATATTTTGAAGGTATATTTGAAATTTATATTTGTAATATATATTTTGAATGTATATTTGAAATTTATATTTTGAATGTATATTTGGAGGGTATATTTTGAATGTATATTTTGAATGTATATTTTAAATGTATATTTTGAATGTACATTTGGAAGTATATTTGGAATGTATATTTGAAAGGTACATTTTGAATGTATATTTTGAATGTATATTTTGAATGTATATTTTGAATGTATATTTTAAATGTATATTTTAAATGTATATTTGGAATTTATATTTGGAATGTATATTTGGAATGTATATTTGGAATGTATATTTGGAAGGTACATTTTGAATGTATATTTTGAATGTATATTTTGAATGTATCCTTGGAAGGTATATTTTGAATGTATATTTTGAATTTATATTTTGAAGGTATATTTGGAATTTATATTTGTAATATATATTTTGAATGTATATTTGGAATGTATATTTATAAGGTACATTTGGAATGTATATTTTGAATGTATATTTTGAATGTATATTTTGAATGTATATTTGTTATGTATATTTGATATGAAAACCTATACCCACTTTCATTTTTCGTGAACACTCCCTTTAAAGGTTTAAAGGGTATCATTTTGAGTCGGGAATATGGAAGGTCACTTGAAATTACCACTGCAGTCCGTTAGATCAAATATCTTCTGGGTTCAAAAATTCACATTTAAAAAATAGTTTTTTTTCTTCTTTATTTTCTGCAGTTGGAGAAGTTACTTCAAATAAATATAAATGTCTCTTCAAACTTTCTTTTGTTTATCTTTTTAGAGTTATCTTCGTGGAAATATTAAAAATAAAATAAGACAAGGGAAGTACAACTTGTTCTGCTACTTATGCAAATGTCTGCATTATCATCTAAATCGACCATAAACAGGCTTTTTGGCTTATAATCATGTAACAAGAGAAGTGTAGAGGATCAAGCAACATTGATCAAGAGGAAAGTGAGAAGGGAGTTAAACCTCAAACAATCAGGGAAACCAAAAAGATATACCAGGAACTCAAAAAAACATACCCCCCACCCCCAACATAAAAAAACGGGGGTTTCTTTAATATTCTTTGGCGTTCAGCAATGGATCAATTATAATCATAAATGGAGAAAATTCTAAAAACATTAAATTGTGAAAAATTGAAAACTGGATTTTCTAAACACGGTTTTAATCAGTTTTACTGTCTTCTGTTTCAGACATAGAGCTTTTGATAATATATTTTTCAGTCTGCTTTGTTAGCTTAGCTGATAGGGGCCATTCAGTAAACTTTCGTTTACTAATAACTTAAAGTTAATTTCAGTCAGCTGATTAAATATTAAATTAATCTATTTATTTGTTCTAGAATTTTCAAAATCTGGACAAATTGAAAGTTAACATTTTTTTAAACAAAACGTTTTTTGTTTGAAAAGTTTCAAAACACTCTTTTGAGACTCTAAATCGGCTAGTTTTCTGCTTTGCCATATCATTGACATTATTTTTCTGTAATATACAGTCATGATCGGTAATAAACGGTATTAATTGACAGATAATCAGACGACTTTTAATCCTCAGAAAAGGCAGACCACATTTTGAAAATCGGAGGACTAGGGTAATTTTGTGATTATCGTTTTAACAGTCATATTTGTAAAATTTCATCGTAAAGTCGTCCCATTATTTGTAAATTAATTCCAGGTCTTTCTAATTAATTATGACTGTACATTGTTTTTTAATTACCTGAACTGAATTAAGGCCATCATTCCATTCATACCGAATATCATTCATTGTATATCCAACTATAATAAGAAAAGATAAGAATATTATTAAAGCAAAAGATATTAATGATATCAAGAGTAAAAATGACAATAATAATTAATAGATCTCTATTGTAAACCTGTTTTTGTTATGAAGGAAAATTTAGTTTTATCGAAAATTAAAAGTTCATCCAGACATTCTTTTAATTTAAAGTTATGCATAGATTTATGATTGCAAAGTCATCTTCTATATTTCAGAAATACATGCAATAGACTGATGAATCAAAAGTTTACTAACAAATTCAGGTTTGCTTGTTTAAATAAAATTATGAAGCATATAAACTTTGAATTAACTTGTTTGTACCTGCATAGAAATTACAGTGAGATTTATAAAACTGTGGAAAAGGAAAAACAAAATTTAACCATGCTAATGTGTATTTTTTTTTGTTATAAAGCAAATAGCTTTATTAGTATTCATCTTATGAAGTGAAATGGGTCTGTGGACACTGCACAATATCTGTGTTTCAACAATATTCCACAATTTTATGGACACCACTGGATAAAGATAACAAGTAAATGATAGAGAAAGATTAGATATTCCAAAAATGTTTTAAAAGATTGTCGGCTCATTTCAGAGTACAAAGAACTTCGGTTTTTTAGAATTAGGAACATTTTTAAAACTCGGCTAAGCAACAACTTTCAGATCCCGTCGTGATTTAAATCTAACATTTCAAGCACACATTGTTGAGGGGTAAAATTTTTTGAAATCTAGATATTTATTTACGTATCATTTATCGTTTACAAGATTGTTGAACATATGAATTTATCACAAAAGTTTATTAACGAGTTATCATGTGCATACAAATATAGATAAATAAATCAATAAAGTCGGAATAGATTTTAAAAGATACATTTTTTTACGTATTTTTTCCATTTCTGAATTATTTGTAAGTTTATATTCAAATATTTATAATAAAGCAGTTCGTGAGGAAAAAACTAAATTAATTATTGAAAGATAGCATACTTATCAGGAGTATTACTGTAGATATTACAAACACGGTGCGTGTTATATCTTATTAAAAAAATGCTACATTTAAGAGTGTGCATGCTTAAAAATGAACATACACGGTGGGAAATATTGAAGGTCCATAGGGCAGGAGGCAGTAATAGTTAATCTAAACAAAAGTGTAAAGATATTGAATTTTTGCCACAAACTCTGATTTTCTAACCCCTATATCACGAGATAATACAAATAAAAAATCACAATTTACTTTGTAGTTTGGACCCACCAAACCAGAGTTGGTTGTTTTGATTGGTTGGCCCATTATAAGCGAAATCGGGATTAGAACATCAGAGTGTGTAGCAAAAACTCCATTCCTTTATTTTTGACAAAGAAAAAACCTTTAATTTCAGGTGTCCTTCCATTTTAAAAGGAGCATTCATTCCCGATTTAAAGGGTACCCTTAAAATCGTTGAGTAAACTCAACGCCGCTGACGTCACATTCATTCCTGGAAAATATCCAAATCGTTTTTCATTAACTCGATTGTGAATATTTATATTCTACGACCTCTAGAAAGTAAATATTAATGTGCCTTAAATAAAACAACTTGTAAACAAAATGTTCAACAATTACAAACCTACGTTTCTGCAGATTAAAAAAGTGAAAATAACATTAATAGTATTAATTAATTGTATAACTATACCTGATACTTCTCAAGATCTCTCCCGTATGAAGGATCCTGTTCAACAGAAATATATTTTAAATTTTAAATTAAACTTGTTTTAATTAAACATTAAAAGGCAGACAGGAGAATTGCTTGTTCTCTCTTGGAACTCCAAACAATATAGGAAGGAGTGCATTTTAATGGTTAATTAAAACAAGTTTAATTTAAAATATATTTTAAATTTTAAATCAATAAGACTATGCGAAACTTTTTAAAATAAAACGGAAATTTCAAAACAAAATAATATTGAAGTCTAAGTAATGCTTGTTTTATGATGATTTATTCGACAGTTTAGTTAAGTTAATAAAAACTTTCAAAATTTTTATGAAAATAGCTCTAAAAAATTGTTGCAATAATTAAAAAATAACCTGCCTTAAAAACTGATTTTCCGTTGTTGCTTTGTGGAAGTAAGCTGTTTTTTCATTAACGAAGAACGTATCCGGAGTCCAGATAAGATTTATGTACTCAGCTCCAACCACTAGCTTCTCTAGACCTTAAAGGAAAAATCAAATGTCAGAACTTTTGTGTTGTCAATCTTGGGATCAATGCATAATCTCCATCTTATGAAGATCTACGGATCAACTTTATTCCTATTCGATAATACATGGTGAACAAACCCTCCAGTTATTACTTTCATTTATTGATCAAGAGTTGATTCTCAAATTTAAAAGTATACCCACGTTGGATATCAAGATCAAGCGTTCAATATTGACAATATTCACAAATTCAGACCTTAAGCTAATTTTTTTCATTGTCGCCAAATAACTTAAAGTACTTTTTCAATTTAATGAATAGAGAAAATTGTAAATTTCTTGATATAGTCAGTAAAATTGAAGCAAAGTCGGTAAAACATATATTTCTCCATTTTAAAGTTGTTAAAAGACTTTTAGTACATTAAGTTGAGAGCACTGTAAACAGTAAGTTTAAATAGCTGGGTTTAAACATAAACCTTGACACTACTGCACTTCACAGGGTGTGCAATTAGAATTTAGATTACAATTCCTTAAATTCAAGAGACTTTTAATTATCTTTCACAAGTGATTTTGAAATTAAAAACATTACAAATTCTGATTACTAGCTTCCAAGCATTAGTCAGCCATATCAAAATTTTACTTGTTTCTTGTTTTTTAAGGACATAGCAAAGCATTGTGTTGCCTGAGAAACTTTGCTAAAATAGTTCTTTAATTGCATCAATTTAAGAGCCCAATTAAGGACCGAATTTAATGAATTTAAGCCACGTTGCTGAACTATACCAACTGCTGGTTCAAATTTGAACCACCGATTCAAAGTTAAATTTTAACGAATCAAATTTGTTTGTTCCATATTCTATATTGCACATTTTTTTACATTTGAAATAATTCATATATCAAACAAAAAATATTTTTTTTTCATGTTATTTCTTCTCATTTATAAAAGTTTCTTTATAACTATGCGCAATTTTGTATCCTTCAAACATGACACAGAGCCCTATCTAAAATAACTGTTTAAACACATTAAACCAAGCTAGAAGGATAGAGCAAATAGGTCTTTCATAAGCAGGGTACTGTAAAAAGTCTGGCCGCGCCATCAAAATTGAAACCAAGCATTCATATAATAGGGTCGAACCGATACTTGGACAGGCTGGTACAAGGGTTTGTTCCGGCTCAAATTTAAATGGACCTTAGTCCAACGTTTAAAGCATGATAAAGATACCTTTTTTCTTTTCAAACTGTAACCTTGGATCTCTCCAGAATTGTCGGAAGTACATATCCAGAGTAAAATCCTAAATATAAGGGGAAATATGACTCACATATATAGACCATCTTTCAACACAGTGGTTCAGTGTAGCTTATATTTTTTACAGATTTAAAAATTTTACATTTTATTTATGCTGCCTTGAAATGTCTGGTTTAATATTTCTGTAAAAGTAAACATTTTCAGAATAAAATATTGATTCAGAATATGATCAATATATATCTACCAATTTATAGTTCATGATGATTATACCAATTATTAAAAAAAAAACATTAATTTAAAAATTTTGCAGATTGAGCCCCTGAAGGTCATTGATGCTCTTTTGGATTTAGTTTTTGATGTATGCAATGATAATGTCGGAGACTCAAGCATATAATCATGTGTTGCATGTTCATGCGCTTCAAAAAAAAAAAAAATAATCATGCAAAATCATTCCAAAAATCTGATTAGCCATGCAATTTTTTATGTTTTTAGTTTTGTTTTATACAACCCGAAACCTTAATCTTAGCAGATAAATTCACATTTTCTGCTCTAACCGTTAGCCCTTGGTAATTGATAAAGTACATTTTAATTTTTCATTGTTTTGATTATAAACATAAATAAATTTTTCTCTTTTAGGGTGTATAATAGTGATAGATGATAGCTTTTGTTTTTTTAAATTCAAATTTCTCTGAACTTTGCTGAATGAAAATATAGTTTTAGAATTAGGAAAACAAAAATTTTAATTTTTTATTTAAAGGAATTGAGTATTTGCCACAAACTCTGATTTTCTAATCGTAGACCTCAGATTATTCAAACTATGATTTCTAATAAATCAAATAATCAAAGGTTTACACCATCAGGTTGCAAAAATAAAGGAACTAGAATACTTAAGTTTGTGGCAAAAACTATGAACTTTGCTTAAAGGAAAATAATTTTAGAATTACAAAAATAACTAGTTATTTGTTGAATTTTGTTATCTAAATTTATTTGGTAAAATTTTGTTGTGAAAAGAGATGGTTGAGTGTATCAGTGTATAAAATGAAGGCGTGTAATGCTGGTGATAAACCCAGTTTTATCAACTGTTTATCTGCCCTATAAACTTCTATCTTGGAGAGAAAACAGGAGAGGGGAGGGGAGAGGAGGGGAGGGGGCTTTTAATCATTTTATCCTTTTTACTTTAAAGGGACCGTAGGTGGAATTTCACTTGACCCTTCATTTAAAAAGACTGGAATGTCGGATTCACAACAGTACTCCATTAAACCTTTGACTGATATTAATCTACAGAAATGATTTTTAATTTTTGAAAACTTAATTTGCGAACTTTTTTAAATTTTATTTGTTTCTTTCTACATAGAAGCACATTTTTAAAACCCTCTTTGGACAAAAAATATCTGGTCAAGGTATACATGTAGGGATGTTAACGTTTTACTATCGTTTTGTTCTGTAACGACAACAGAAACAAAGGAAAACGAAACGATTGTTTTTTAAAAAGTTCGTTTTTTCAAAACGGTCGTTTTCAAGACAATCAATTTGCAAAATGGTCGTTTTTATAAAACTCGCCGTTTCGTTAACGATTGTTAACGACGTCACTTCGTTACGATCGTTAACATATTTATCAATGAAAAAAATTCAAAAACGATAGTTTTTTTGAAAACAATCGTATAAAAAAACTATTCGTTTTCTAAAAGTTCAAAACGAGTGGGTTGTTTTTAAAAACGATGGTTTTTTCCAAAAAAGAAACGAAACAAAAAACGATCGTTTAACGATCGTTTTCAAAAACGATTAATAACCCTATATATATGAAAAATCAGCTGTGTTGAGTTCAATAACCGTTTTACAATAACTGGGTCATTGTTTAAGGTATAAACACACAGAGTACTATGGCCTTGATGATAAGTCAACGGTTTAAAGGATAACGCTGTGAAAAAAAATGTCATCAATTTTTAAGACAGGGTCGACTTTGAAGTGTCGCAACGCCTTAGGCTTTGATTTTACCGCTCTAACTCACCTATGCTTTATTCTAGACCTTTACATGTACAGTTTAGCACTATATAAAGCACTCGTTGTTAGCTTTGGTTTTTAAGAAGTAATTGGCAAAATTCTCATAGATTTTTGTTTGAGAGCTTGAAACCTTCAAATCACAGTGAATCGGGTATTGTCATATTTGTATGAAGGATCACTTGAAATTACGCTTACAGTCCCTTTAAGAAAAGAAAATTATAACAAAAAAAACATGTGGCACACTGTTAAAAAAAAAACATTTTGTTCGCAACATCGAACTACAGAAAGCATTTTGAAATTACAATTATATTAATAAAAATTGTGAAGAAAAAATAAATTATGAATATCTCAGTAATTTTTATGTTTATAACATTCTTTTCGTAATTAAAGACTTGAATTTAAATCTACTTTCTTGTGTTGTAGTCTTTCCAAAGAGTTATAAAGTAGGTCTTTATTTATATTTAGTCTGGTAAAGGTAAAATAATGCATTCAGGCAGTATGCCTGAGGACTTACTCTTAGGCAATAGGAATAAAACCCTAGTTAGAAAAGTCAAAAAATTTGGACAACCTCAGAAAAATACTTTTTGAGTTATCGCAAAAAAAAATATAGGTCACAGTGACCCCCCCCCCCCCTCAGTCGGAATAAGGTTAGTAATTACTAATTACACAAAATCTCAATTTGATATAAGGAATTCATATAGCTTGCCTTCTCCTCTCTTTTAAAGATTTGAATTTAAATATATAAAAAGAAATGTGAAAGTGAATTAGGGTTGAATGGTTTGCTCCCTCTGTATATCCCTAAGCAAACAGCTCAAGGCTAAAAATCAATTGAGAAATAGAAAATAAAGAATAACTTCGGGAAATCTACAGTATTAAATGTATTAGACTCCATTTTTTAAAGCAGCCTTAGTTCAAATAAAAACAAAGAATCCATGGTGAAAGATTAATTATTTATAAACAGAAGAAAATAGTTGTAATAAAATTGCTTATAAAAACCATCACAAGGAGTACAAAAGTAATTGTATATTTTATTATTTTCTCCAATACAAGATGCATAGCTAGGCCAATGGATCTATATATCATGTGTATATATTATATAATAAAAGATTATTTGTACAGGGGTTAATACAATTCACAGTGTTTGCCAACCTTGGGTTCAGACACATTTTTCAAATAAATTAATAAATTAAATAATAAATTAATAAATTATATAAGCCCCTGAAAGCAAAAAGCTGTAGATTCTATGTTTAATAATTTTTCCTGTTACATGGAAAGACCCTGTTCCTTTAAACATTTATCTATTTTACTTTTACTGCTAATTCAACAGTGCTCTTAATTCTGAAATACCACTTCAAGTATTTATTATTTAGTATAGGCTAACCTAACTTTACCCCTTTCAAATGAAATTGGTGTAAACACTTAAAATTTAGAAATTGATACCAACATACTTTGAAGTTCATTGTTAACCTTAATAAATTGATACAATATCTATTAAACATAACCATGAACACAGAACCAATACTGAAAACCAGGAAAGCCAAATAGGGGGGTGGGAGGTGGGAAGTTAGGACTGATAGTTAGTGGGGATATTAATCCAATATTCGATTAATAAAAATTGTGAACAGTTTATGTATACTGTGTAGCGTATATTTTGAGGAAACAGGTTTCTCACTATTTGTCCATCTGGATAGGAGTAATCTGCAGTCTGGGTCAAGGATGTAATGCAAGGAAAGTTATTTCAGAAGTGTACACATCTTTTGTACTGCAGTGTACTGTCTCTGGGCGGTAATTTAAACACAAGACGGATGTCGAAGCCTGACATGGGATCCATCTTTCACATAAAAAATCAATGAAATAGTCTGGTCATAAAAAAATATTATGTGAATTATCAAAATTATCAAAATTTAATTCTTTTAACCTCCTCGGATACTAAACGAACACTGATGCATCTATTCTTGTTTACAAATTCCGCCCAAAGAGAACTGGTTTCAATGTGTACGCAGAGTATACACGACCGCAATTAACTTTCCTTGCATTACACCCTTGGTCTGGATTATGTTTTCCATTGTTTTTGTGAAAATAAATCTTTGATTTGTATAATTGACTCGATCAAGTTTAAAGGAATTGACAAATTTAAACTAGACAGAGCGGTTTACGTTTTAAGAGAATGAATTGAAAAGCCGAGAACAAATATAGTTTCATCATTAAGACCAAGCTGCATATTTTGAATTACTGAATTTAATGTAGTTGAATGGAATATTAAAGTCCAACCCATGCAAAATTTGTGTCAGCAAAGTTCAGTGCATGGAAAATTGGTTCCGATGCCAGAATTTGACATTTTATGACAATATTGGGGGATTGCTGGGACATTTTCTGAGATGTGCTTAAGTGGAATGAAAGAAAACTTTATATTTAAAGTTTTTGGTTTTACAATCTCTTTCATTGTAAAATTTTATTTGTTTTTCATATTTTCTTGTGTCATGCTTATTTCTTTGTGTATCGGCACTTTCCACTATCTTATATTTGATTTATTTTTTTGAGTTCCTGTATGTGTATGTTAATATTCTTGGTTTGTTTCTATGATAGATGAAGTGTAATATAAAGGTTTTTACAGTGTAAATCTAATAGCTTCTAGAACAAGTATTAGCACACTGCAAATACACTCAAATCACCAGAGAGGAAAAGTTGTAATTGAAAACATGAAGAAAAATGGTAATTGAATAAACTTTGGTTAGAAAAAGAAATTCTTTTCTTTTAATAAAATGGTGCAACTCTTTAACTGAAATAAATTTCAATAAAACAGTGTGCATTTACAGAGCGCTTCCTCTTCAATTAAATAGAGATGCCCTTAAGTAGAATGTACTGCAAGGGTGTGAAGGACAGTACAAGACAATTAGAAGTGTACATGTTTAACAGCCACAGGTCCAAGAAGGTCTCGGTTTTCAAATCAGTAAAAGATAAATCAATTTAGGGGTTATTTTGCATTACATAAATCATAAATCGTTTATTTTTTAATTGCATAAACAGAAACCCGAACAATTTAGATTTTAACCAAGACCTTGTTTTTTAACCTTTTTTTAACATTCAAGATAGCATTAACACAAATGCACATAGAATTTGGAAAGCCATCAATACACCAGTATATCTGTGTGGAAACAGAATTGAAGTTAAATTGCTTTGTACGTTATTAAATTCATTAAATGTTGCAACAAATGATTTAAGAAATAGAGAAGTGCTGCAGGTTTAAACTTTTTCCATTTGTACTTGATACTGATGGCTTCCACTTGGTTTAATACCATCATAACTTCAGAAACAGAACTGATGGAAAGAATGTACATTGTTACCCCAACAGTCACAGGGATTCCTACAAAATCCTGACAGTTAATAAATTGTGCCATATTAGACAATAGGAACTTATACAGTCAACTATATCAATCAATCAATCAAATTAAAAAAGAAAGGAAAATTCCCTTTCTATCCATAGTGCTTAAGTATCATCACTAACAAAGGAAAATCACCAACATTTCAAACTTTACAGCAGTTGCAAACGCATTCAAATCACATATGAGACGCAATGCCAAAATAACATATTTTATTTTTACCTCTCTGCATTGAAAAATAACTCAGTGATAAGCATCTCATCAAAAGAAAATCAAAACATTATATTTGCAACTGTTTTGTCTGAATTCATTCATTTGTAAAGTGGTTTAAAACTTCTTTATATCAAAATTCTAAATTTTTCTTACTTTTACATTTTTAGATAAAGCTAAAAATTGCTGTACAGATATAAGAATATATTCCTATAGTTATTTGACAAACTCACGCCTAGCTTGGTAGCGAAAAAGTAGTTGTGAAACAATTTAATAATGAATCCATTTAATTAGTATTATTATAAATTATTTACCAATAATTATAGCAGTCTAATAATGCACCCTGTAATTATACAATTAACTGGTTAATTTATTTAGAAATTACGAGAGTACAGTATTTTCTTCATAATCATTTTCAACATGATAGTGTTTTTTATTATTTGAAAATAATTATTTTTAAAAAAATCTACTTCAGGTTTGTTGATGATTAAGCTAATTTTCACAATTATTTCAGTTTAAATTAATTAGTAAATAAGAAAGTGTTGAGTATTCAGAACTCCTCATTTCCGAAAAAATATTATTCTCTAACCATGAAAATGCAACAAAAGAAAAAAAAATATTTGCTTTAAAAAGTTTAAAGTGGTAGAAAAAAATATTTTAAAATAAGAGAAATGAGACTAATTCAGGTGTATTTTATTTACACAATAATTGTCAAATTATATTTGACCATTTAATATTTGTTACAAGATAACAGTCTGCTGTTAATGTATTAATGAATATATTACTGCAGATAGAAAATCTAAATTCTGGAAGCCAACCTTAAGAAAATTGGTAATTTATCTTTATTTAGCTAAACAATATAAATATAAAAACCTAAAGTATAATGTGAAGAAAGAATGGTAATATTATACAAATAAGAAAAACTACCAACTCTTGTATTTAAAATAACTAGATACCTAATACTTGTATGGTAATATGATACTGATTAAAAAAAAGTGTTGCGTAGAAAAAACAATCTTTACCGGGCCCAATTAAAAAGATGTTCCAAACTATGTATTTTAAAGTAAATTTGGTTTAGCTATTAAGATGATGGTGTTTATTGGTTGCCTCATATGGGCTGTATGTTGATATTTTTTTTAATTCTTCCCATCCTCAAACCCTGAATCCCTAAATTTGGCCGTGAAACCAAATAGTTTATAAAGTTTAAATTTAACTACATTTGAAAATAAAAAAAAAACCTATCTAAAAATACAAACAGTGGAGTTCGAATATAACAAAATAATCAAAGTTGAAGGAGTGAAAAAAGTATTTTAACCAAAATTGATCAAAGGTTTTTGATTCATTTTGTATCATTAAGGATCATTTTTATTTTTATCCACAACAAATCTAAAAAGTTTTGAATACTACAAATTTGTATATTCTAAATCTATTTCATAATCGAAAAAGAATATCTGACAGAATTTGAAAGCAAAAATTAACCAAAAGCCATTGTTAGTTAACAAAGCATGTATTTTGTTTGTTTTTCTTCTTTTTGTCTCAGTCAAAAGGAGTGCTCGTAAAAAATTAAAGGGTGTAAAGGCTTACGTCGAAAATATTTGATGGTGATCGCTACTAATCTTACTTTTCTCTGTAGCATCTATAAGGAGAAATTGTTGAAAAAAACTCAAACCAAAGAATGTAGCGTCCATGCAAATTCAGAAAGTTGCAATATTCGACATGGATCAAAAAATATCAATTTAATTCTTAACTAATCATTCAGATATTAAAACCAATAAACATTGATTTTTTTTCAATGCATTTGTATATATATAGATATTTCATAATATATTTTATTTGTTTTATATACAGCAGAAAAAATCGATGATTATAGGTTGTAATATCTGAATAATTTGTTTGGAATTAAATTAAGTTTTTTTCTGAATTTGTTTGGACGCTACGTTCCTCGGTATGAGTGGTTTTTATCAATTTTCTTATTATAGACGCAACAGATAGAAGTAAGATTTGTAGCAATCACCATTGAATATTTTTTGACATAAGCCTATACCCCCTTTCATTTTCGCGAACACTACCTTTAAGTTAGTGTTATAACGCAAACTTTAAGAGAATCCAATTTTCAAAACTCTCTTGATTTATGTGGAGCCTTTTCACTTTTCAGGCCAAAACCTTTCCTTTAAAGGAACCAGTGTGAATTGTTGTCTAAATCTTGGCCAAATCAGAGCTCGTAACTTTTGTACAAATCTGGGCCAAATCAGAGCTCGTAACTTTTGTACAAATCTGGGCCAAATCAGAGCTCGTAACTTTTGTACAAATCTGGGCCAAATCAGAGGACGTAACTTTTGTATCAACAATGGAAACTTTTTGAATTGGTAAAGAAATAAACTGAATTACTGCGATCTTATTGACAGACTGCTTAGACTTTTTTTGTGGCGACAAAACCATTCATCTCAATTGGTCAGACCAAAAGATGTTAATCCTTGGTTTGTGAAACGATTATAAATTTAAGATTCCACCCACAGAAAACACAAGATCTTCGTTTTGAAATTTAAGATGTGTTGCACTACATATCGTTCTAAAGTGTAACACATTTTTATCTCAAAGCTTTTAAAAAAAGTTTGGCAGTGTCTGTTACATGTAATTTGTATTTGTATTACTGAAAACTCCTCGTGATCTTTTTGATTATTTTCATATTCCTGAACCTACCACTGGTTTAAGTGAGATTTAAGGGGTTCTCCAAAATTTAAAGTAAACAAAAATTCTAGAAGGTAAAGGAAACTTCTATTTATCGCCAGGTTAAATTATTTAAAACAAAATAAATATTATCAGCAAAATGTGCAGAGCAAATGGTAAAGAAATGTTCTTTCCTTAAACCTGTTTTGGTAACTAAGTAATGTTTTATAATGCCACTTTTCAGCATTCGGCCTTCGAAAAATATTCTTATTATTTTTCTTTTCGAGTGTCGAGATTTGAAGAGTGAGTTTGAATATTTATTTTGCTAACCATGCTGACTTCCGAGAGTTCAGATATAGATAAAACAAACATTGATACTCCTACATTCACTGCCGGACCTGAAACCACAATCATCTAAATCTTTAAAACAACAACTCAGGGGAAAGTTTGATCCTAAAAATATCCAGTCTGTCACAACAGTGTCCTTAAAGGGACTATTTATAAATTTAACTACAGGTTTCTGTAAAAGTAAAATTACGGCGTTATTAAAAAAAGATAAGGATACGGGATTGTTCAGTGTTCACCTATTTACAAAAATTACATAATATCCTAGTTTTTGAAAAGGAACTGATCTTTCGCCACAAACTCAAATTTTCTAATCCCTATGTTTTTGTAACCTGGTAGTGGTGTAAATCTCTAATTTTTCAAACTTAGACTATTTATTCAAACAAAACTCATAGTTTAAAATATCAAAGGTCCACGACATCGGGTTNACCCCACTGGCTTAGTGGGGGGGGTGGTCAGAGCAAAGCTGTAGATTATTTAGACCAAATAGTCTTGGTTTTTGGTGATTTATTGTTTCGGATTCAGCGGGCCGTAAATGATTCCTAACTTCTGTATTGATAAAAGAACAGGTTTTACTCCAACCCAGGTAGAATATTTCAATCCACCTACACTTAGATGCCAGCCAGTTAAAAAAATTAAATTAAGAAATAATAAAAATTTTGTTAAAGTTTGCTTGGTAAAAGTAGAAAACCCGAATAGTGAATTTTTGATCAATTTTCTGTTATTTGAAGTTCCAATTTGCCTGACTGGTTTACCAGTTAAAACTTTACACATTCAACAATTTTACAACCATTGGAAAACTTCAATTTTGAGTTTACAGCAAATATGTTTGAAAAATATATTTCCTGTGAGCTCTTTTTCCACTAGATCTATGTTGGCTTTCCATAATAAATGGTCTCCTTTAAATGCGACCTTAATACTGTATACTGGTTTAGGCAAAAAGAATAGAATATATATTAGAGTGGAATTTAGACAATCACTCGGTATGAATTTTGTCAGTTCCTTTCAGCCTGAAAGGGAGTTCAAAGTGTACACATCATGTAAATGTTCACAATTTATATGCACTAGAGCACATTAATACAGTATGTTCCCTAGACTATCCATTTCAATTTCGAATTTGTTAAAGCTGTTAAATAAACTTTATAAAATTAATTAGGTAAATAAAAAACATCATTTGATTTATAGTTATAACGGAAAATCATCGTTTGTAAAGTGAAAGGCATAGAGTCTATGTGAAATGATCATTGGTCAATTATGAAACCAGCCTATTTCATAATTTGGTTTTCTTTTAACAATAATTTTAGATTTTCTATAAAATGATATTCCAGGGCCCAAAAGGTTATATTGCATAAATATGTGAAGTACACCTGCAGTATGGGAACAGTACAACAAAATGGCCGTTTTACACTTTTTTCTAGTAAATTCCACTCAAATATATATTCTATTCTCTTTGTGTTTAGGGATATAAATATTTAAGAATAAACATCCCCCTCCCCTGGGGGACTTTTTAATCATTTTTGATGCTCAGGAAAAAAATTGGAAAAATTGGAGATCAACTTGGAATTTTTTCCACCCGTTTTGATACAGATTCCAAATTAAATAGTTTCCATCAATTAAGTTAATAATACCTAAAACAAAAATTGTTGCTCTGCTCAAATATACCTAAAATCTGGAGGGGGGGGGGAGATATTTTTTTAAGGAAATGTAAACCCCTTAGCTGGTTCCTTATGCAGATATAAGCATCCTTTCCTTACTTACTTTATACTATCCAGTATATCAAAGATTTACTTAGAACAAACAAAATGTTTAACATTTCACAATCAGTTAACATGAACATTGTCAGAAGTTTCTTCAAATCATCTAAACCATCATTTCATATTGTTATTCAACAAAACAAAGAACGATCACAAAACTTATATTTTGGCAAAAACTCTTTTTAATGTGAACAAAATCAAAGTTTTCATTTTTGGCTGAATTTGACAGATTGCTTAGAAATATATCATGTTTTATTTTTTTTATAAGGTTAAATGCATGTATACAGTATGTCCCTGTAAACATTATAAATGAGAGACTTTATAAGGTTAAATGCATGTATACAGTATGTCCCTGTAAACATTATAAATGAGAGCCTGCACAGTTTCTATTTAAAAATGAAAAATATTTAGAATGTTTTGATCATTTTTATTAGGCCAGAGTTCAGTTCCTGTTGCAGATGAAAAAGGCAGACCACATTTCGGACATACTAGAACTCCCCATATGATAATTCTTTCAAGATAATTAGATTCCTGAATGAATACTGCAGTACATGTCAAGAAAACTACATGTTTTCTCTTCCATGTTTAGCGGGACACACTGTACAATGAATGTTGATTGATTGATTTACTTACCCCCGTAGTTGGGTCGAACCCGCTTATCATACCCCTCCTGGAAGGAGTTGAGAATAGAAGAGATATTCACGTCGTTGAAGTCCAATTCATCAGTACTGAAACTATTGTGTTGTTAATCCATTATCTGTTCCAGTTAAGGGATATATTTAAAGGGATTATCGTTGTGATTTAAAATGACCTTCCATTTTAAAAAAAGGGCTTGTCAGACTCACAACCCTTTAAACCTTTATTTGATCAATATTTAGAGGAGTATCTTCGCTTTTCTAACTCGAAAATTTATTTAGGAAAATTTCCTTAAATGTTTTGAAGCAGAAATGTCAAGCAAATGCAAACAAATCTGTTTTCGAAGGGAAAATAATGAATATCTCATGCACGCCATGGAAAAGTTTTAGGGGTACCATTCTGAATCGGACATCCCGCTCTATAAATATAGAGTCACTTGAAATTACCTAAACAGTCCCTTAAAATCAATTTGTTTAAACTATAGTATATTCAGTGATCAGCATAAAACTATGAACTAGGAAGACGACCGTAAAGCAATATTTATGTGTATTTGATGTTGTTATAAAGCAAATAGCTCTTAGCATAAAATAAACTTGTTAGGTGAAATGATCTGTGCTTTTTCAAATAGATCGGAACCGATTTTGACTTTGTTTCCATCTTCTATGTTTTGGAAAAGACAGATATATATAAGGGAGAAAATCCTGAAAAAATGAACTACTATTTTTATTTAAATTCTAACTTCTGAAATGTTATATTCAAAGCAAGAGTTGTGAAATTGTGCATAAACTTTCCTACAGTTTAAATCCAAATTACATTTTATTCTAGCTTTTCTTTTATCTTTTTTCTAAATGTTTTTTATTTCGAAATTAATGTGTTTGGATTCTCTCTGTATTCCCCTTGTGATTTATACCAGTTAAAAACAATATGGAATTCCTTCTACATAGTTTCATTCAACAGAATCTAGAAAAGTCTGCAAAACACAAACTAGAAAGTATTTACAATTTGGAACCGTCATGGTCTTATCTTATCAGACTCTTCCTTTCAACCCTTAAATTTTTCAGACTTTTTTTATCTATTGATTTTATTTTTTTGTTAGATCAACACTTTTAGAAATCTCTCGAAATGATAATAAGAAATCTGAAATGCAAAGTTAATGATTATTAGAATTTTAAGTATTCAAATTCTAATTTTCAAAGTTTGAAATTTTAAAGATGGTGAACACCGTCAGGTTGCAAAGATTATGTGTATTGAAAATTAGATTTTGAGGGAAGTAATTATAGTTCCTTATTAAAATTGGTAAAACTGTATATAAATGAAAGGTTTTTAAGTATCCATAGACAGTAGAATAATGCCTAATAACAGCTGTTTAATAAAAAAAAAATATATCATCAAATAGAAAATAAATTGGAAAAGTCTGGATATAATGAAACAATCATAAATCAATCTAAAAATCATAAAACAATCCTTAAAGAATATATTATTTATTATTATTCTGGTCAACTTGGCATTTTATCAGCATTTTTGATATACATTGGTTATGACTTATGAGATCTATTTATAAAAATAAAGGCTATTAAAATTGAACAGTCCATATTCTCGAAATAATCTTTTATTAACAATAGTTTGATTACAAAAAATGAAGGGATATCCATTATCCAACCAGTTGAAATATTTCAAAAGTAATAAGATGCTTTAGAGGATATATTTCTTATCTAATCTAAAACATCTCCAAAAAGCAATGAAGCAAGTCGTCTTTGCAATTATTTCTGTCAAGATCATTATCCAACCAGAGCTGAAAACTTTAGAATGAAATATCCAGATATCCCGTCGGATAATTAATCTGAAGATTAAATTCAGCAATATTTAATTCCGAAAGAAAGAAAAAGAGTGGATTAAGCCTTAATCCTGATATCCACTATTCTAAAGTTTTCAGCTCAGTTGAAATTTTTCAAAAGTAATAAGATGCTTTAGAGGGTATATATTTTTTATCTAATCTAAAACATCTCTAAGAAGCAATGAAGCAAGACGTCTCTGCAACTATTCATATGTTCAAATAAATAAATATTTATCTAAAGTCAAAACTGTTGTATAAAATGGCGCGAATCTAAAGCAATTGATTTCTGGAGATCTCCATATCCAATGTGGGCATTTTTAAATTTGAGGATTCAAGTTACCCCTGCAGGTTGTGACCACAGACCACGACGTGATATAGAAGATATAATCCATATAATCCGTGTGTCGGTATAAGGATGGAGATCAATGCTTAATTCTGAGATTCATAAAACTTAAGTTCTGATTTTTAAACAAATATATCCTGAGCTTGGAACTCTTGTATTGTGGATAATATCGAAATCAAGATCAATTTTCAATCTTGATATCTTATATCAATCTTCAGATTAATTTAGTCTTCAGTTAATATCCCGCATGATAAACAAACCCAATCATGGGGGGTTTGTAGAAACCTGTGATCAAGGGAGGAGTAAATAAAATAAGAATGTGGAAAGGTATAGTTTTTAAACTTTTATAGATTCTTAAATTTAAAGTTCTCACAGTGGATATAGAGATCAAGCGAACATGATTATGTTTCAAGCACAAAAGTTCCCCAGCTCTGAATCTATAAAACCATTCTCCTTTTCTAAATTGCCGAAGTAACGATGAGTATGAAAATATGACTATTTGGATTGTTTAACATGTTCTTGCATAATAGAAAATGGTCACTTTTCTACTCAATAAAGAAAGGATGTTCTGATTCAATTCTCCAAGTGTTAAGTTTACTGGACAGTAATATAAAGGAACTGAGTTTTGCCACAAGCTCAAATTTTCTAATAATAATATCTTTGCAACCTGAAGGTGTAAACCATTGATTTTCTAAAATAAGATTATTTGATCTAACAGTCTACGCTATCCTATTGCATAGATTTAAGTATTAGAAAACAAGAAACTTTTCAAAAACTCAGTTTCTTTATACCTTAAATAATATTTTTTAAACTAGTTGAATATGTTTTTGTAAGCATATTGAATTTAAAAAATACATTTTTATTTCTGGTAAAGTTTATATTTAAAGGAATGTAATGATTAAAAGTTGAGAAATCCCTGTAAAATTATTTTTTTTGAGAAAATATTGTCTTAAAAAAGTATTCTATGAAAAAGTTTTCCATGTCTACTAGTAATGTACAGCAGCAGCAAGTAAGCAGATAAAGATATATTTAAAAAGTTCAAAGAGAATTTTGTAAAAGGAACTGAGTTTTTGTGTCACAAACTTAAATTTTATTATAACTATATCTTTGCAACATGCTAAATATATATGGTTTGGTTTGGGTTGACTTTGGAATATCATAACGCGTAGGCCCTTCTTCTGCCTCGCCAACTCACCATCACTTTTTGTATCGCTAGCTCTTCTTTTAAACCTTAGTTTTTAAGAAGTAATTGGAAAAACTCTTGACTTGATTTTGTCTGAGACCTGGCAACCTTTGGATCCCTGTGTGCATCACTAAAAACTTCCGTTCATTTGATGTACTGGCCAGATTTTTAAACAGTTAGGGGAAGTTGTGTACAGTTGTGTACAGTACATACAGCCTACATATGGTAAACCGGGATAGTACACCAAATGAACCATCCCTTTCTGTGGAAAACAATGTGAATTGGACTAACCTATTGGAGGAGAGAAGGGAGCTTGTGATGGATATTGTCTGAAGAATGATGAAAACATTCATCATCAACATCTTCAAGAGCGTCGTTGTTGACATCATGATGTTGAAGGTATTCTATGACCTCGAGGAGGTGTATGGGCGGGGACAGGGGGAGGGCTAGTATAAAACTAGCTCAACCTGTCAACTCATAATGGTATTCAAGGGGAGCAGGGATAACATTATTCTATCCTCAATCCATATTCTGAACATTCTTTCTGAAATAAATCATAAATTGAGAATTGCTCTTTCAGCAATTTTGCAAAATGTGCTTTATACCCTGCAGTGTAAAGCATGCAATTTTGGCAAAATTTGATAAATGGAAATGAAAACCTTAAAGTTATCTTTCATCTAAAATTTAGAAATATACTTAACAAAATATTTACCTCCCATGGCTCGACAAAACGGTTTCCAACGAAATTTACGTTAAAAGTAATTGGCGAAAATGAACGAACGAAACTTAACGAATTTCGTTTAAAATTTTTGCGAATTTCGATGTACTTTCGACGACATTTTTTAGCCCATTTTCGCAAAATTTTTGTTAGATACAATCGAAATTTGTATCCATTATCATCAAATACGCCATTAAAAATCTACATTTAAGGCAGAAGGCTTATGTAATCCCTTGCATAGTCATATTTACAGAGTTTTAGGTCGTCTTTACAGTCTCATCCTTTTTGGATAACCCTGTGTATTAGTTTCAATATAGTCTGTATGAAAATTAACAAAATAAACTGGCTATCAGTGATTTTATGCATTTCTTTTTCCAGATCTAGTAATGGTATCCTGTTGTTGTTGTTGTTGAACCTTGAATATACAGGGTTACACACAAAGGATGAGACTTTAATGATAATTTGAAAATCTTTAACTATTAAGATCTGAAGGTTGAACTTGACTCTCTGTCTTGAATATAGTTCTTGAATGGTATATTCAATGATTTGGCAAAGAAAACATATTTTTTAAGCTGCAGGGAACATTTCATGGATAAACAAAGACCCAAAAAATTCTGACTGTCATCTCTTAGGTCTCATTCTTTGTGGGTAATGCTGTAATATAGTATTCAATCAAACAGTTCATAACCCTATCACGGCTTTCACACCCCCCCCCCTTTATTTTTTCTAAATAACTTACAAACGACTTACATTAGAATGCTTAAATTTTTTCAAAATTATAGTTGTGAACAAATTTTGCCATAACACGGGCAGCCGTAATACATTTGAATTTCCTAGCCGGGTCAACCTTTGTACTGTACCGCCCGGACATTGGGTTAATAAAGCAGACACTCAATAGGACTAGCCGGTGCAACAAGGTTGACGCGGTCAGACATTAGGTTAAATTTACTTTTACTAAAGAGTCAGAGGTGCGTGATAAAAAAAAATATTATGCATATGGTAGAGTGGAGGACAGTCAACCGATCAGAAATGCGTAATAACTTTTTTATTAATTAAGCTACAGGGTTAAAATGTTTCTTTAACGAAAATTAACGAAAATATTCGTTTTCGTTCACATTTTCGCGAAAGAGATTGAACGAAAATTTTGAAACCCTAGACGGAAGGTTAATAAGCTGGTTGAAAAAATGTACAAAGCCTTGACAAAGGAATTGAGTCTTTGTAACAAAATCAAATATTTAAACCCCAATATCTTTAGATCCCGTTGTTGTAAACCTTTGATATTTCAAACTCTGATTATTTGATTTAACAGAATTCATAGTTTGAAATATCTAAGGTCTACAACATTTGGTTCCAAAGATATTTTGATTAAAAAATCAGGGTTTGTTGCAAAGACTCAATTCCTTTAGATTTTTAGAAATCATCATAAAAAGAAAACAGTAAAATCCGCCAATTTTGCATTTGAATATTTTTGTGTTATACAAACAAACAAAAGGTCGTAAAAGTTAAAGAAATTTCTTGTTAAATCTTTATCTTTAGCTTGTAATTAAAAATTTCTTTAAGAATTTATAAAAATGAAGTTAAGATTTAACTGGGTTCGGAGAAAAAACAGTAACCAAATACTTACACGTTACATGATACTTACAAAACATGGCTTTTCATTAAACAAATTAATAATGTTTATAAATTGATTACTAAATAATAAATTAACTCACGGTTCTTCTCATTGGTTTATTCAAAATATATATTAACAATGCAAAAATATTAATGACTTGAAATATGCTGAGTGGGAAAAAGGATCCATTTATCATCTGTATAATAAACCATTATTTATAATTATTTACTTCAGAAGAGAAGGGAAAAGAGAGGAGTAAGAAAAATGAGAAACGGGGGGAGACCCCATCAAATCTTAATGAGTTTTGACATGTAACATTTCTTCACATCTCACGCAAGATAAAAAAAACTTTGGTTTTTGAAATATTAAAAAAAATATTTTTGATATCAAACTGTTTTCAAATGATTAGGCAGAAATGGCCAAAAGCTGCGTCTAGAATAGGGAGGGGGCCTAGCGCTGCGTCTAGAACAGACAGACATGGCCAAACGCTACGTCTAGAAAAGGGAGGGGGCCTAGCGCTGCGTCTAGAAGAGACAGACAAGGCCAAACGCTACGTCTAGAAGAGGGAGGGGGGCGTAGCGCTGCGTCTAGAACAGACATTATGAAAAAAAAATGTTCCTAGAAATTGTCCAGAATTTTATCTCTTTGATGCTTATACTTTAAATAAACAATTTAACAGTTTAACAATATCCATAATCTTTTCTTATCTATTTACATGAGAGTATAATAATAAATGGAGGGTATCAGCAAATATCCTGACTATTTATGACGTTTGGTCTCCAGTTCCCAAGAGGTGTATATTTTCAAAAATTACCCCACCCTCTGGTTCGCGAACACAAACGGTACCTGTAAGCAGCGAGGGGGGGATATCTTTTTAAAAAGTGGGAGGTGGGATATATACCCCTGCAGTTGCCTCTTCCCTGATTTATTTGAGGAACTAGAACAAGATATGAAGCCGGATATTAACCAGCAGCCAGGGAAACTCTAAAAGATAAATGTTGAGACTTATTTTACATATTTCTAAGCTCCTTCCCATCTTCTCGGAGATAAGTCCCCTTGCTATGAATATTGGATAAAACAAAATTATAAACGGAATTTTTGTGGAAACCAATTAAATAATTAATATATTTGTATAGCCAGGTCAGAGGTCTTATTCAAAGAATTTGAGCCGTGGCTAAAATTTGAGACTTGGCTCAAATGAAACCGGATTTTGGTGGAATTGAGACGCGGCTCAAACTCATTAAACTCGGACACTGAGTCAACTAAAGCCACTATATATATATGATGTAATTAACTCTTAAGTCAGTAGAATAAAAAAGTCCTTTTAAACACCTTTTGAGTTAAAACTGTTTGGAAATAATTGATCTTACTCAGTATTGAAATATATATTTCGATATATGTTATATCATTCTCAATTTTTTATTTTTTATTCTGCAAAACTACCGTTAAAATACCGTTAAAAGATTATCAACTTTAACCTTTTCGTCGTTATGAAATAGCTTTAGGTTGTCGTTAAAGTTTCATCCATAAAAAAATTGATTATTATCTTTTCAATTAAATATCAATTTCAGGCTATTTCTTAAATATGAAAACTCAAGACTACATTATTAAATTCTCAGTAACATGAAAGGATTTTGAAAATGAAAATATAATATTTAGAAGAAAATTTTACGTTCTTAATTTTATCGTATTTTCAAAGTTCAAGTATGAATAAACAAAATAAGATTAATTTATTAAAGTGTATTTCTAAGCACTCTGCAGTAAGCATGTTATGTACTGTGAAGTGTGTATAGACCTGTTTAAAACCTTTTAATTATTCATTACGATCCCAACTGCAGCAGTCATGAAACATCCTTGCAAAATAAAAATAAACCTTGACAATATCTGATAATTTAAAGTTTAAAACAATAATGTTGTAAAACTCTTAAAGGTCCTGTAGACGAAATTTCATTTAAAATTCAGTGATGGTGATGGACCAAACCTCTGTAGAGTAAAAAAGTAGATGTTAGTTCCACATTTATTGAAAATATATTTCGGTCTGGGTTGACCCTCGTCAGTTCTAATGATATAATAACCATCAAATCGATAAAAAAATTAAAAAAAATGTAAAAATCACAAGAAAATAAACAAACAAAAAGATTATTCAAAATAAAAATTTGGGCTGTCAAATGGACATAAGGGAAAAGAACTCAGATTATGAGATGGAAAAAAGATAATTTGCAAATAATGACCCTCCATTTGAATGGTGGCATATCTGATTATTTGTCCTTGGTACCCTTTAATCAATTAATGATAATAAGGATGTTAACAATATTTTAAAATGTTCTCGCCGGCGCAGATCCGTAAGTCAGTTTCCAACTTTACACAATTAGATATCAATATCAATTTTCTTCAATTACAATATGCATCTTTTTATCATTTGTTGGACAAAGTTTTAAAATGTATCGTTGTTAATTGGACATTTCTCAATGGAAGGTCTTTTGAAAGTGTGTCTACAGTTTGTATAGTACATGTTTTAGACAAATTGTACCTATTTATTGAAATGAAAAAAGAATTACAAATGTTTTATTCCCACTACTAACTTTCTGGAATTTAAATTAAGTTTAAATTTTAAATGAATATAAAAAAAATCCATTGCACGAACATAGGATTAACCAAAAAGGTGTTGAATAAAATTCACAACTATAATACTCTTTTTGTATCGATTAAACACACACCTTGATGCTGAAAATTGCTGCAGAGAGTATTAATCCCTTAACAGAGTAACAATCCCTTCGGAGTGTATTAATCCCTTCATAGAGTTTTAATCCCTTCACAGAGAATTAATCCCTTCAAATATTATAAATCCCTGGAGGGAGTATAAATCCCTTGAGAGAGTATTAATCCCTTCACAGAGTATTAATCCCTTCACAGAGTATTAATCCCTTCAGAGAGTACTATAATCCCTTCAAAGATTATTAATCCCTTCAGAGAGTACTATAATCCCTTCAAAGATTATTAATCCCTTCAGAGAGTATGAATCCCAAAGAGAG